TTCTTTTTTTTTTTTTTTTTTTTTTTTTTTTTTGCAACACGGACGTTTCAGGAATATTAAAGCTAGTAAAACCTCAGTTTGTGTGTCTGTCCTCCTTATTGATGTAGTGGGATGGGTGTAAGGTTATTATAGCTTTGCATTTTCATTCGTTTTTTTTATATGCCTTTTCAAATGTACTCTTGCTTTTAGTTTATATTAATCTTCAATTTCACTCATTTTAGGGGTTATTGGAATTCGAAGGACCAATTTAGTCAACAAAACTTGAAGCCTGAATAAAAATGCTGCTAAAAGTCCCATGTTGACCATTTGTGGTTGCTTTTTTTTTTATGTAAACATCCAGCGGGTCGCCTTATGGGGGCCGACATCCTACATGAGATCACATGACCAATGAATATTTTGTTTATATTGGTAGAATTCCTTTTATTCACATGGAATAAATTGATGACTTACTGTGAAGAGCGCATTTTTTTACAATGGCATCAGTAACGGGAAACATTTGCATCCAAGCTGCTAGGTGTCCGTGTAGGTCCGAGACTGGTCTGCGCAACAAAAATAAAAATCGTTGGTCATTGATTCTGCATTTTCTATGCGTTTACATAAGTTTGTACTTTATATTTATTCTTGTGGTGATTAAGGCGCTGTTATTTAGATAATATAACTGAAACTGCATTTTATCACGTCAGCGGTCGCTTGTATTTGCTTTCGCGTTTGTCCCGCTGCCGCCACCGTATTCCCACACGCACGTGACAGTATATGCGAGTCTGGTAACGTTAGCCAAAAACTAGCTTAATTTATTTAGTTTTTCGGTGTTAGTGCTTTAAATTCGTGTGGTCTCGTTGATAAGTTTGGAAGCATAGAGTTGGATTCATATCGTCCTGCTGCAGGTGAGTTTAAAATAATGTAACAAGTAACGTAAAGCAAGCATGTTTTTATTGAAAACGTAACAATTCAAACAGACAACATTACAGACATTAAAAGTCATTAGACCTTTCCTGTCACATTCATTACAATATTCCCACCTTCCTTGTTTTTACAGAATTTGTTAGACTAAACAATTAAAAGGGAATTGACTTTGAAATCACTCGACGACTTATGAAGAATTTAACACTTGCTAGTAACAGAAAAAAAATGTATAATCTACATCTATCCTTTTTAAAATAGCATATCAATGCATTGTCACAATTGATATTAGATTTTAAATTTACACGTAAACCTTCTAATGCCAAAAGGAAGATGAACAAAGACATTAAATAACCAAACAAATAAAAGTCTCTCTTTTTGCTGTAAACAAATGAACAACAGTACTCTATATCTAAATTGAATTGTTGAGTATTACAGCTGTAATCGAAACATGTCATGTATTCATGTCAAATCTTCATAACAGGTGAAACATCCCTAAACCTTTGCTATATCAGACATGAGGCATTTGTGTGTGTGTTACAACGCATTCGTTTCAGGTAACCGAAGATGACCACAGCAGCAAGGCCAACGTTTGAGCCCGCAAGAGGAGGACGGGGCAAAGGAGAGGGTGATCTGAGTGCTTTGTCTAAACAGTACTCCAGCAGAGACCTGCCAGGACACACCAAGATCAAATACAGGTCAAGTTGCTGTTCTTTACAAAATCTCTTTGGCAATCAATCAATTATTAGGACAGAATGTGTATAATGCCATTGCATTTAAAGGAGTAGTTCAAACATTTGGGTGACAAGTTTGCATACTTTTAGGCAGGGCTCCAGACTAACTATTTTTACTAGGAGCACTGTAGCACACATTTTCCAAATTTTAACTGTATTACTGACAAGTGCTTTGATAATAAATAGACTTAACTCATAGAGATTACAATATATTATGTAATACGATTTTCTTAGCACCATATTACTTAGCCTCAAGGACCTATGCAAAAATAAAAAAATATACAGACTTTTGTGCGCACGAGAAACCATTACACTTAGCATATAGGACAATGCATACTGAGCCACCTATTGTGCCATCAGCCCATTTTGCAGTGTGGTTTTTTGGCCGCCACAGAATATGCGTTAAAGAGACCTAAGGTCTTGAAATATGACTTACTGCCCTAAGCCACATTTTGAACACCTTTTTACAAAACCAGTCTTTTTTATGTACTCTTGAACTTGATAAATAGGACAATGCACACCGCCATATTATGCCATCAGCCCATTTCGTGTCATGGTTTTTCCGCCACCGCAGAGGCTAAATTGGACATTAGGCCTTGATATTATAGGTACTACTATAAGGAAAGCCAAATTTTGAGCAAGTAGATCTCTATTAATTCATGTGCATCCATGCTCTTGCTTTATTTATAGCAGGATGGCAGTGATGCACAAAAGAAATGGGTTATATAAAACTAGAAATTGTGTAAGCATGCAAAAAAATTCCCATGCACATGTTTCTCGAGGGCACAAAAAGTTTGTGTGCATACAAAAGTCCGGTTTTTTAAAATTATTTTTCATTTTAAGGTCTCTGTATGCTCACTTGTATGTTTCTATCACTTCAAGAATATCAATGAAAAAACCCCCTGAAAAAATTAAAAAATATTTATAGATGACTGTAATATTTATTAATTATAAAGCTGAAAATAGTTCTGTATGAACCATTTATGTTAAATATGGGCCAGAAATCTTGAGCCCGACCGATATGGGGTTTTGGAGCCGATACCGATATTGGGGAGTAAAAAAAGTTCGATATATCGGCCAATATTCTTTGTGAGGCTATATAACAGTATAGTATACAGTGTACACACGAATGGAAAGTGTGTCCAAACTTTTGACTGGTACCGTATATAGAATAAAGTATATACATAAACCGTATATATATATATATAAATAAGCGCATTTTTTGCAACGATAACTCAAATGTGGTGATCAAACACTTATAATGATGTGACAAATAGGCCTATGTAATGGAAGCAGGGTATTTAACAATAAACTTTATTCAAAATTAGTCTGACATCAGTGCACTTAACGGTAAACTTCTCTTATTATAAATAACTTAAAAAAAACACAAATAGAACAAAATATATGTAACTTGAATGAATTAAAGCAGGGTTCCTCAATTAGTTTTCGCCGAGGGCCGAATTCTGCCAACAATTCCAAGCCAAGGGCCACTGACCTAGGCATATATATATACAGTGGGTACGGAAAGTATTCAGACCCTCTTAAATTTTTCACTCTTTGTTATATTGCAGCCATTTGCTAAAATCATTTAAGTTAATTTTTTTTCCTCATTAATGTACACACAGCAACAAGTTTTTCACACCTGGATTTGGGGATCCTCTGCCATTCCTCCTTGCAGATCCTCTCCAGTTCCAGTAGTCTGTTTTATTCAAACAATTATGAAAATTTTTGCATTTAGATCCTGCTATAAAATACAGAAGAACTTTGCCTGTTTAATATAAAAAACTAATGAACAAACAAAAAATCTGAATCTCCATGTCTGCCATGTAAATCAACTGTTCCTGCTCATTCCCATACTGGATCTCTTCTCTTCACTTTTCCTAATTGCAGATTCAATTATTAGATTTGTCAGTATTAATATTTTTATGCTTAGATTTTTTTTGGGGGGGGATCAAACTATAACACCGTGTCCCAACCAGACACGACGCGATAAAAAGTATCTTTTCCTTGTAGTTTTTGTTCTAACCACCCGCGAAAGCGACACGTGACAATAAGCGCCATGGGATTCTATTTTAGGAACGTTTTTTTATTTTCCGCTACGTCGCAGCAGGAACAACATACACGGGCCACTTATTGAGGAACCCTGAATTAAAGGGTTAGTTCGACATGAGTAATTAATGACAGAATTTTCATTTTTGGTTAAACAACTATCCCTTTAAGATAAAACTCATCCTGATACGTGTGTGTCCCTGCAGGCAGCCCACTCAGGATGCTCCAGAAGAGGTGAGAGCTCGTGATTTCAGACGTGAGCTGGAGGAGAGAGAGAGAGTTGCTGTTAAGAGCAGAGACAGAGGAGCAAGAGGTGAGGAAACATGTTTTATGTGAATGGTTTTTGACTTGATATCAAGATGTTCATTGACAGTGACTTTGTTTCTTTTAGAGCACACAACTTCCTCGTCATCTTCATCCTCCTCCTCCAAGCGGCCACGTCTGGATCAGATTCCTGCTGCCAACCTGGATGCGGATGATCCCCTCACTGATGTACATGCACATACACATGATGCTTAGGCAGGCAGGTTGATTTTGACGGCAGTTTGAATAATGTGTTTATGTATGTTTTAGGATGAAGATGACTCTGACTCCGGCTCTGACAGTGATGATGACACTGCCGCCCTCCTGGCTGAACTGGAGAAGATCAAAAAGGAGCGAGCTGAGGAGCAAGAGAAGAAGGTAAACCTCTCTGACCATTTACCGCCTTGATCTTGATCATTATCGCAAAATAAAGCCCTTCAGGATGATCCTGGTCACCATTTCAGGATTTATTTTGTGATTATGAACAGCCTGACTCTGCATTTATTCCTTACTTAGGCTTGATATCTTTTTTTTTTTGGTGTGCGTGTAATTAAGGAAAGGGAACAGAAAGCAGAGGAGGAGAGGATACGTATGGAGAACATTCTGAGCGGGAATCCACTGCTCAATCTGGCTGGCCAGCAGCAGCAGCAGCAACAGCAACAACAACAAAAAACACAGAGCCAGAATGCATTCAGTGTGAAGAGAAGGTAATTTAATGGTGGTAAAAATAAGTAACACAAGATTATTTGGTTTTCTGTCTTCTTTCATAAGTTACTCTTTGTGGCATAGTTCACCCAAAAATGAAAATTACCCCATGATTTACTAACCCTCAAGCCATCCTAGGTGAATATGAATATTCTTCTTTTAGACGTATATACAATCAGAGTTATATAAAAAAAACATCCTGGCTCTTCCGAGCTTTGTAATGGCAGTGAATGACGTTTTGATTTTGAAGGCCATTAGAAGGCTATTAAAAGTACTCCACACGGCTTCAGGAGGCCTTCTGTTTGTGTAAGAAAAATATCCCTATTTAAAACTTTATAAACCATAATCTCTAGCTTCCACTAACTGTTGTATGCACCCGAAAGTGGAGTTCCAGCGGGTAAATCATAGGGTTATTTTCATTTTTGGGTGAACTATCCCTTTGAAGAATTAAAGCAAAGCAATTAAAAGTTAATTAAAACTCTGGGCATTCATGTGCATTAATGCAAGATGATGGAAACACTCAGTTTAAATTAAAGTATGGCCCATCTGATAATAAACATTTCACTCACTTTAATGTTACATTGTTTGTGTGATAATGATCGTAATATATTGACATTAGTAGAAGTGTGCTGTTAGAAAGAATAGTACATCATTGTTCTTGGTAGTTATAGTATGAAATGCAATGGCTTACAAAATAATTTTTTCCTTTTTAATAGCATTTTGCTTTGTTTGCTATTTCTATAGCTTTTATATATTATTTACTCTTGAGACCAACAACATCAACAGCTCTAAATGTCATTTTGGTCCAAACGATTCTTTGAATTCAATAATGGTAATAATAAAAATAATACTGGCTGGTGTTTTTTTTTCTCCCTGAATGAAGGTGGAAAAATGGCTTTGTCTTTGAATCGCAAATTCGTTAAAACCGAGAAAGCTCAATAATATGCTATTGACAACATTCAAACCCAATTTCACATTCTGTTTTTGGCAGGTGGGACGATGATGTCGTGTTTAAAAACTGCGCTAAAGGAGTGGATGAATCACGTAAAGAGAAACGCTTCATTAATGACACCCTGCGCTCTGAATTCCATAAGAAATTCATGGAGAAATATGTTAAATAATTGTCTTGTTATAGAACTGTATTTCAGCAGTTTGTTTAAAATATTTTTTTCGTTTTCGCAAATATCATATGTGCTCATTTTGTCTTTTGAATCTTTATGTGCTGCCCTTCAGTAGTGGGTCTGTAAAAGAAGTGTACCAATAAAAATAAAATAAAATGGAATGCTTATTCATTTCTCTTTCTACTGTATATGATCCAGTTGTCTTAAGTCATGCTTTATAACATTCACTTATCCTGCAAGCTTGTGTCTGTTATCTTTATCTTTTTATTTTTAGTCAGAATTGCCCTGTTTGTCCTGATTACATTTACACGTTCAGACGTTTCCATACTTTCAGGTCAGGTCAGACCTTTTTTATTTTCTTCTTCTTAAGTTACTGAAGCAGACCCGCTCTGAATCAGTAGAGCAGATCTGAGTCCAACCTGACCTGCGTCTTTTCACAAGGGGGCTTTCTATTCTGCTCCCTTTTTTATTCTTAACATATTTAGGACTTTTAACAGTAGCGATTGTCTCAAAGCAACCGTACAGAGTAACACGCCTAAACCCCCAGCGAGCAAGAAAACGGCAAGAGTTTCGTAGAAAAACTCCATTAATGTAACAAATATACCTTGTGAGAAACCAAGGCTGAAAGAGGAAACCCATCCTCTTCTGTTTGGCCTGAATTTCTTTGAAAGACTGTGTATAGAATCAGTACTGTGGATCTCTATGGACAGTTTGTCTAAAATTAGTAGTCCCAACTGTTTGCTTGTAAAGAAAACCAGCTGTGAGGATGCCTTTAGATGTCCTGATAGCAAATAAACGGTCCTTTACCGAGCTAAAGCTTGTGGTAGGCATGGAGAGGACTACGTTAGCAGACCACATGAAGCTACATCAGACAGTGATGTATTAATGTGATCAAAGTGAATGAACCGCTACACCTAAGGCACATTTCCAGGTCAGACCTGCTCTGAGTTGGCAACTGTGTGATTCATGACCAATGACCCACAGCTAGTCTTAAGTGATTGTTCACATTCTTGGAATTTCTTTCCCTCAACAGTAAATGTGCATCAGCCGAGTGGGTGTTTGACTAATAGAACGATGTGTTCTTTAAAGTTTGAGAAAGTGCTTGGCTCTGACGTGTCTGATTGTGTAAGTGAGGTAAAGGAACAACTGTTTGTCAAGACTATGAGTATAAAGGAAACACATCCTAATATTCCTTCTAAAAACTCAGAAGTAACCTCAGAACTTCCTCCTCAGAACTGTCTTCTGATTGGCTGAGGCCAGCGGGTGGGCTCTAAAAGAGGTTCACTAGAACTATGACTGTACAAAAGACATCCAATCAGCCAAGAGAGACGGAGACAGAGAGTGAGAAAAGGGAAGCCCAAACCTCCTGTTGCAGTTGACTGTCTGTCTGAGAAAGGAAAAGAAGAACTGCTGTGCACAGTGTTTATTTGAAGGTAAGATTTCAGCTTCCCGTGCACTTTAAAATTCTTTTGCTTCAGGTTTCATGTTTGACTGAATAATGATGGTTTTCTTTTTTGGTTGTTTACGGTAATGTTATATTGTTAGTCTGCAGATGATGTTTTTGAAGTGGAGTGTTGAGAGAGGGAGTAGACATGAGGTGTTTACACTAATGTAAACAATTATAGAAATTAATGTTGATAAAGATTTTCAGTGTGTGAGAACATATCTGAATATGTGGATCATCGTGGTTATACTTCTTTTGAAGGGTTTGATGGAAGATTTTATTAATACATTTTTTTCCAGATTGAGTATTTTTAAATACATTATACTTTTTTTTAACTTTAACCCTTTTTTTAATCAGTTAAAAAGTAATCTAAGGTATTATGTTTAATAATAATAACGTTTATTAAAGTTTCTTTATTTACTTTTGATTTATAAAGCTTAATAGTTATCTTCATATATAGTATGTGTAACATGAACTAACAATAAGCAGTATATATACAGTGGGTACGGAAAGTATTCAGACCCCCTTAATGTCTTTGCATGTGGGTGTGTGTGTGTTGCACAGAATAAATATTGAGTCTGTTGGTTCACTGCCTTTAGTTGACCACAAACACGGGTGTTTCTTCAGGGTTTCTTGAACGTTAGTGGTAGGTTTGTGGTGAAGTAGTTCCTTAATCAGCCATTCAATCACACGCACGTCTAAATCTTACTTACTCTTCCTTTTTCTCCCTTCTGCTCTATCCACATTTAATAATAGCCACATATTATCAGTCATGTATATTGGATACCTGTTTTTCTGTCTCTCATTCTGAGTGTCCCAGAGGGGTTTCAGTCTAGTTCTGGGTGTGCGATATAAAGAGAGGATTGAAGTTTTTGACTATGTGTTGTTACTATTTCAGTACTCTTGTAAGTTGATTCATATGGAAATATGTTGGTCTGTGTGCAGGTCATGTTGTCGCAGTGTGAGAGAGCACGGAGTATAAGTGGACGTCCAGAAGGACCGTATCGGGCGGTAGAAAGCGCAGATGCTCTCATTACACAGGACTTTGAAGGCGTGGACACGCTGGACAAACTTTTTGTACATGCTGTGAAGAGATTTAGTAAGGCACCCTGTCTGGGCACCAGAGAGGTCCTTAGTGAAGAAGAAGAAAAACAACCCAATGGGAAGATCTTTAAGAAGGTAAATTCATTCACCGATTTGATTCGGTATCAGTTCAATCAGTTGGAAACAGTCAAAAATATTAGTGACAGTTGATATAGAAATGTATGTGTTTTTGTTTGTAGTTGGTCCTGGGGGACTACAGCTGGATGACCTATGAAGAGGTCAATCAAGCAGTGGAATCATTTGGCAGTGGTCTGGCAGCTTTGGGCCAGTGTAATACCATTGCCATCTTTTGTGAGACACGGGCAGAATGGATGATCACAGCACAGGCCTGCTTCAGACGCAACTTCCCATGTAATACAATCACACTTTACTTTAAAGGGTTAGTTCACCCAAAAATGAAAATTCTGTCATTAATTACTCACCCTCATGTCGTTCTAAACCCGTAAGACCTCCGTTCATCTTCGGAACACAAATTAAGATATTTTTGATGAATTCTGAGAGCTCCGTAATTACCACGATCAAGGTCCAGAAATGTAGCAAGGAGATCGGTAAGATAATCCATGTGACATCAGTGGTTCAACCGTAAATTTTACGAAGCTACGAGAATACTTTTTGTATGCAAAGAAAACAAAAATAACGATTTTATTCAACAATTCGTCTCCTCCGCGTCACCCTGGTGCCATTTTGGAGAGTATCCACTGAACGTAAACAGCGTACGCTATTCTGTGTCAGCTGTGTTTTCATCGTTGTTTATGCTTTGATTTGAACGAAAACAACGTATCCGCGTGACGCAGCTGACACAGAATAGCATATGCTGTTTATGTTCAGTGGATACTCTCCAAAATGGCACCAGGGAGACAAATTGTTAAATAAATAATAAAGTCGTTATTTTATTTTTTATTTTCTGTGGTTACCGGATCTTGATTGTGGTAATTACATTTCTGTCTATGGGAGAGTCAGAAAGCTCTCAGAATTCATAAAAAATATCTTAATTTGTGTTCCAATAATGAACGGAGGTCTTACGAGTTTAGAACGACATGAGGGTGAGTAGTTAATGACAGAATTTTCATTTTTGGGTGAACTATACCTTTAACTCTAAACACGTTTAAATCTAAATCATACAGTCATATAAATGTTTTTTTGTTCTGCTCCGTAGTTATTTCACAGCTGAATTTATGTAACCTTTGGTTTACATAGCCTATTTCCAGTCAATTTAGCTGTACATAAAGAGTTTTGTTATTAGTTATTCACCTATAGAGGTTAATTGGAATCAGAACTCTCGTATATTCACAGGAAATAGCTTACTTCTGCATTGGAAAATAAGGTGGATATTAGTGGTGGAGATTTTTCAGTTACTCAAACTTTCTGCCAGTTACATCACTAAACACAGTAGGTGGTTTATGAGTGAGATATTCAGTCACTAACTGAACGATTCATTCAAAAACACTAATTCACTCTGGAGTTAAACAAATTACTGTTTTTATCAGTGAGGTAGTGAATCATTCATTCAACCAATTTGTTTTAACAACACGGACTCATTCAGGCTCATTTTTCTTAAAGAAAACATACATGTGAGGTACCACTTATGGAATAACCATGCCAGGCTGAAGTATTCATTATACAATTTCGGCAATACCAACTCTGATACTTGCTTCTTATCCTATTATAACACCCCATTCTATATATTCTAATACAATAATTGTAGAAGGCTTCTTCAACACTAAACAGAAAGCATACATGAGCAACAAAGTAAAAATACATAGTCACTTCTCATGATGAACGACAAGAATGAAAATTAAAATAAAGACATAAACAAACTGTAATTATAGGAGGCATGAGCCCCGAAGTCTATGTCGATAATGTCCTCTAAACATCTCAGTCTTCTCATAGATGTTACCTTATTTGTTTCCAGATCTTAATAAAATAGATCATTTGTCCTTTAAAATAAATACAGCATATTTCTCAGTTCTCTGACCCACATCTCAAAGGTGCAAACTTCAAAAATAAATGTTACATAGTAATAACTTGTATAACTCTTGTATAAAAGTAATATCCATGTCAGGCCAACCCTGTAAGGTTTTTTTTTTTTCTTTTTACAATATTTTGTCAATATTACATACCGAACCTTTAATTTAGTTCTTTTTATATTTAAACTATATATGTAAACCTCACAGATCCTGCAAAGATTATCTGAACTTATGAGCACAATTGTGCGTGTGTGTGTGCAGTGGTAACGCTGTATGCAACTCTGGGTGAAGATGCTGTAGCTTATGGGCTGAATCAGTGTGGAGCCACTCATCTCATTACAAGCACAGAACTGCTGCGGACCAAACTGAAGGTACACAAAGCCACAGACATGCAAGTGTGACCTGCTTATCGGGGTGGTCTGGCTAAAAGTTTGCGTTATATTACTCTTTCTCTCTTTCTCAGAACGTTTTGAGTGCAGTGCAGTCAGGGTTGCAGCATGTTATCTATGCAGGCAGTGGTGAAGTATGTAATGCTGATTACCCACAGTCTCTCGACATGCACAGCATGCAGGAAGTAATGGAGCTTGGGGCAAAGCCAGAGAACTGTGAGTAACATGCAAAACAATTATTTATACAACCAAACTGAATTGATTCATAAGCTGATACACATGCTCTCTCCTTGTGTGTCTCTCTCTCTTTCAGTAAGCAAAGAGTATGAGAAGCCGACTGCATCTGATCTCGCAGTGGTGATGTACACCAGCGGGTCTACAGGGAAGCCTAAAGGAGTGAAGATGCAACACAGTAATCTGATTGCAGGAATGGCTGGGCAGTGCCAGCGGATCCCGGGCCTGGGGTGAGCAACAGTAATAACACCAACACCAGTTCAATAATTTGCATGTTTTTCCGTACACTACGGACAAACAAATTACTTCCAGCTTAAATCATGTCACGTCTGGTTAAGACATAATGCATCAGTAGGGTAAAACTGGAGTAGGAGTGTGTGGTGAAGCAAATACAGGGAACAACAGAGACATGTGGGTGTAAAATTACACAAATTATGGAAAACTAACAACTGATGAATAAATGCCTGTAAAATTAATATAAGTTAGTGTCTAATCTTTCAAACTAATCTTAAATCTTTATTTTTGTGTGAGGGTTATTTATATACTATTTTGGTACTCATTCATGTTTTTGAATTAGCTTTCATTTTTATATTTTCAGTTTAACATTTTTATTTAAGTTTTAATAAATGCTTTTTTTTGGTCATTTTTATATTTTTTTCTTTAAATATTTCTATTTAGCTTTATTTATTTTTATATCCATTTTAATTTGAATAATTTTAGTACTTCAACTTATTTATTTCAGCTGTTTCCAAGGCATTTCTACATTTATTTTTTTAATTTTTTTTTTTTTTAAGTTTATCAACTAATATTTATATTTGATTTCAGTTAACAAAAATACGTTTGAGTAGTTTTAGTTTTAGTTAACAATAACAGCATCACTGTATGTTTTTTTTTTGTCATTTTTATATTTTTTTCTTTAAATATTTCTATTTAGCTTTATTTATTTTTATATCCATTTTAATTTGAATAATTTTAGTACTTCAACTTATTTATTTCAGCTGTTTCCAAGGCATTTCTACATTTATTTTTTTATTATTATTTTTTTTAAGTTTATCAACTAATATTTATATTTGATTTCAGTTAACAAAAATACGTTTGAGTAGTTTTAGTTTTAGTTAACAATAACAGCATCACTGTATATGTACAGGTCCCAGGACACTTATATAGCTTATCTCCCTCTGGCTCATGTGCTGGAGCTGACAGCAGAAATATCCTGTGTGTCATATGGCTGCAGGCTCGGATACTCATCCCCACACACACTCACGGACCAGGTAACACACACACACACACACAAACATACATACATACACACATACTCTATTATATCATCTTCTCTGTGCTTGACCTGTGTGCACTTGTCTATGCAGTCCAGTAAAATAAAAATCGGTGCTAAGGGAGATTGCTCTGTGCTTAAACCCACCCTGATAGCGGCAGTACCGGTGAGTTTTAAAAATTAAAAACTGAGTGTTTTATTTTTGTTCCCCTCTTTTTACTCAATATTTGTGTATGTGTATCTGTTGGTGTGTCTAGGAGATCATGGATCGTATCTGCAAGAACGTTAATGGGAAGTTGAGAGAGATGTCAGTGGTTCAGAGGACTCTGTTTAAAGTGGGATACAACTATAAGCTGCAGAAGGTGTCACAAGGAGCCGATTCTGCGGTGTGTAACATGTGAGTCAGTTAAACATGATGGGTATCTATCTATCTAGTCTGTGTGCACTTGTCTATGCAGTCCAGTAAAATAAAAATCGGTGCTAAGGGAGATTGCTCTGTGCTTAAACCCACCCTGATAGCGGCAGTACCGGTGAGTTTTAAAAATGAAAAACTGAGTGTTTTATTTTTGTTCCCCTCTTTTTACTCAATATTTGTGTATGTGTATCTGTTGGTGTGTCTAGGAGATCATGGATCGTATCTGCAAGAATGTTAATGGGAAGTTGAGAGAGATGTCAGTGGTTCAGAGGACTCTGTTTAAAGTGGGATACAACTATAAGCTGCAGAAGGTGTCACAAGGAGCCGATTCTGCGGTGTGTAACATGTGAGTCAGTTAAACATGATGGGTATCTATCTATCTAGTTGTTAAAGAAATAAAAAACTGCATCAGTTAGGGATAAAATAATTATTGCAAAACATATAACATACCAGAAACATATTAATTACTGCAATACTGTTCCAAGTCTAGACTCATCATCATTATTTGCTTATTTTAATCCAAATGGCGACTTTTTTTGGCCAGATATATATATTACCCTATATTGTTATATTGAAAATATACTTTGATATAAATATGTATTACAGTATTTTAAAAGGTTAAATAGTTACATTTCTAAACTTTGCGTGACTTATTTTACAAATACATTTGTGTGCTAAATTGTGTTGTGAATTCAAAATTTTCACTCAGGGGTAAGAGTGATAAAATGTTGCCTATATGCAGTGCTGCAATGGCAGATTTTGCCTATACGAAATGGTCTCTGTCTTCAAGATCTTGTTGTTTGAGATGATATGATTGTGTGTTTCAGGTTGTTTTTCAAGCGTGTGAATTTGCTGCTGGGAGGGTGTGTACGTCTGATGTTGAGCGGAGGGGCTCCACTGTCTGCTTCCACACAGAGATTTATGAACGTGTGTTTCTGCCCTGTCGCTGTGGGTTACGGCCTTACAGAGACGTGTGGAGCAGGAACTATCTCAGAATGTTAGTGCACACACATTCTTTCCTGCATGTTAAAATGACTGGATTCCTGTGCCGACATGTTCAAACTTGTGTTTGTGTGTGTTTGCAGTTTCTGATTACAGTACAGGACGAGTTGGAGCTCCTCTCATTTGCTCTGAAATAAAACTGCGAGACTGGCCTGAGGGTAGGACACACACACACACACACGTGCAAACAGCAACAGCAATTGAGGGTTCTCAGGTTCACTTTACATTCCTAACTTTCAACCGACCTCTCTCTTTCATCATCAGGTGGATATACCAGTCAGGACAAGCCACACCCACGAGGAGAGATTCTGATTGGTGGACCGAATGTTGCCATGGGATACTTTGGGAGTGAGGCGGAGGGAGAAAATGACAACTTTTGGGTGGATGAGGCAGGGCAGCGCTGGTTTTGTACTGGAGATGTCGGGCAGGTTCATCCAGACGGTTGTTTGCAGATTGTGGGTGAGTAAGTTCTGAATCACCTAACAGAGGAGACTTACGTCAGAGAGACGTCTGCTGTTCTGTCAAACATAACATGCCAATCCTCCACTTCCTGTTCTCAGATCGTAAGAAGGACCTGGTAAAGCTGCAGGCAGGTGAATATGTGTCTTTGGGGAAGGTAGAATCTGCCCTGAAAAACAGCCCCCTCATTGATAACATCTGCGTCTATGCCAGCAGGTACACCACAACTTTATGTCCCACAATATTCTGTATCCAGAGATTAACCTGGATAAAGTGTCAATTTACATGTGACCGGAATTTTAGCACTGAAAATCGCCATGTCCCAGTTTTGTTGGTCATAGGTGTTCATACTGATTGATTTGATAACATTATGTGTGGGCTGCACAACTGTCCATATACACAGCTATTAATCTGATAACAAGTGGCATGTATGATGCTATCAAAACGGGTATATTTGTAGCAATAGCCAACAATACATTGTATGGGTCAAAATTATAGATTTTTCTTTTATGGCAAAAATCATTAGGATAATGTAAAAGATGATGTTCCATGAAGATATTTTGTAAATTTCCTACCGTAAATATATCTAAACTTAATTTTTGATTAGTAAAATGCCTTGCTAAGAACTTCATTTGGACACCTTTAAAGGCGATTTTCTCAATATTTAGATTTTTTTGCACCCTCAGATTCCAGATTCTCAATCTGTATTGTTGTATCTCGGCCAAATATTGTCCTATCCTAACAAACCATACATCAATGGAAAGCTTATTTATAGATGATGCAGAAATCTCAATTTCACAAAATGGACCCTCATGACTGGTTTTGTGGTCCAGGGACACATATGCAAGTAAAGATATTTGTAATGTTACAAAAGATTGTAACTTTACAACTTTCTATTCATCAAAGAACCATGAAAAATTTATTACAGTTTCCACAAAAAATATTAAGTAGCACAACTGCTTTCAGCATTGGTAATAATAGGAATCGTTATACCAAATCATTAGAATGACTTCCGAAGGATCATGTGACACTGAAGACGGGAGTAATGGCTGCTGAAAATTCAGCATTTCCATCACTATTTAGATTTTTTTGCACCCTCAGATTCCAGATTCTCAATCTGTATTGTTGTATCTCGGCCAAATATTGTCCTATCCTAACAAACCATACATCAATGGAAAGCTTATTTATAGATGATGCAGAAATCTCAATTTCACAAAATGGACCCTCATGACTGGTTTTGTGGTCCAGGGACACATATGCAAGTAAAGATATTTGTAATGTTACAAAAGATTGTAACTTTACAACTTTCTATTCATCAAAGAACCATGAAAAATTTATTACAGTTTCCACAAAAAATATTAAGTAGCACAACTGCTTTCAGCATTGGTAATAATAGGAATCGTTATACCAAATCATTAGAATGACTTCCGAAGGATCATGTGACACTGAAGACGGGAGTAATGGCTGCTGAAAATTCAGCATTTCCATCACAGGAATAAATTACAATTTAAAACATATTAAAAAAGAAAACAATTAGTTTAAATTGTAATTTTACAATATTACTGTTTTTGGAGTGTGTTTGATCATATAAATGCAACCTTAGTGAACATAAGACACTCTTTTCAAAAATCTTACCAACATAATCTTTTTTGTTTTAAACTTTGAGTTTTAGGACAATATTACAAAGAGGAAAACAAAACGGAACAAAAGACAAGATCAACTTAATACAATCATTCAAATAAATAAATTGTGGGTTAGCAAAACAATGAAAGTGATACAATTCAGTATGATACAATACAATTTAAGTGAAAAAAAGTGCTAAGTGCTAGAACTAAGATTCACTCTAGCAACCCGATCTTTTGAACAGAAGTGTATTGATATAAACTTTTACAATTGCTTATCCATGGCTTTAAAGCAAAGCCACAAAGAGCCACAAAACTCGTTCTTAATCTTGTGTGTTTTTAGCAAACCACTAGGCTACTTAATATGTGTATTGATACAACCTAAACTTGTCATGCAGGCTCCAAGACACCATAATGCAGAATAAACATATGCCGTCAGTTCAACACTAATATGTCCTTGTACTATTTCCGATCAGTGATCAGAACTACTTGATCAGCTTTGTGGTGCCCAATCAGAAGCAAATGACTGAGCTGGCAAAAAAGAACGGGATAGAGGGCGAATGGGAGGAGCTTTGTAACCACACCAAGATGGAGGAGGAAGTAGTAAAAGTCATCAAAGAAATTGCAGTCACAAGTAAGCATGATAATGTTATACTAACTTCTCAACAATGTTTGATTAATTAAGTATATGCTGCAGAAAGTGGAAGTGTGTAATTCTTTCAGTGGGTTTTTTCCACACTTTTTTTTGGAGGGGGGGGACTGTCTGTTTGGTGACCGAGTTTACCTTTAAACAGTGTCTATTGTAACTACAGAGATTTGTGTGTTTGATACTGAGAGAAAATAGCAACGGCATTTATTTTTTGTGTGTGTGTCTATGTGTATAAACTGTATATAAATTAATTGTGTATGTGTGTGTGGTACTGTAGGTAAACTGGAAAGGTTTGAGGTTCCACAGAAGATCTGTTTAAGTTCTGAGGCTTGGACTCCAGAAACAGGGCTGGTGACAGATGCCTTCAAACTAAAGAGAAAAGAGCTGAAAAATCATTATATAAAGGACATTGAGAGGTTATATGGGGCTATATGATGGACATGCAACACTTATCTAGGCTGATTCCCAGTTGGTGTACTACGCTTTGTAGATTACTATCCCCCTAAACATAGTATTGCATCAAAATGCAGTTTTACTATGATCCTGTCTTACTCCATACACTAGACATGAATAAAAGTCTTTCAATTGGGATTCATCCATATATAAAGTCACTGCCATTCCTGCTGTTCTCAGTAGAAACACCATTCTTCTCCCTGCTGGATGTAAATGGTCATTACTTCCTCTGTGAGTAAGTACTGTGAGAAATAGATTTATTTAATGGCAGAAAAAGATGTATGCATTGCTGTTATATATATATATATATTACTTATAAAGGTGCCCTGATGCATATCTATGTCAAATATTTTTTAAATGTTCAAAATTTGCCACTTTTACTTGAAAGCGTTTTTGGGATGCAATTGGTACATGTCAAATTTTTAGTTGCTTGGCGTTTTTGTTTGTTTGCTTAATTGTTTGTTAGAGTCCATTAAAGAAAAGCTGATGCAGTGTTTAGTGAGTCACCCAGCTGATTTCTGATGGCAAGAGTGGTAACGGTCACTTACGATCAGCAGAAATAAAGCTGGGAACTGTGTAAACTACAGAATATAATGTGGGATGAGTTTAAGTTTACATATATATGAGAAATGATTTTTATGTATACCATTGACATGAAAGGGAAGAATCTTTGGTTGCTCCAGTGTGCATACACAGATGAATGGGTTAAAGGCAATACATAATGTGTAAAGTGCATTGGAGATGAAACTGGGAAGTTATATTTTTCCTGTTATGCAATATACTGCATAGTTTTATTTTTTTAAAACTATATCACCATTCCTCAGCATAAACTGTTTTCATCATACATTTATTATTTGCATCCTGTAATTGTTTTTCTGTTTTTTTTTTATGTCTGTGCTTCGATTTAGTTGTTTGAGACATTTCAAAAGTTTTATACGTTTTTTTACTTGTATTTAAGCTCTATACCTGTGAACTGTTACATTTTTTTTCTGACTGAGCTTTATTCTGATATCACTCATTTTCTATATAAAAAAATCCCTTTTCCTTCTCTGTCCACCATCATTTCAGAGTTTTGACACTTCTTGCATTCTCTTGCTTGTTAGCACATTTCAGGTGTATTAAAACAAAACGTCCACTTAGTTACAATTATAATTAATCACTCTCATTTAAAAAAAAAAAAAGCTACATTTTCCAAATTAGGCACACAGAGTCAGCAATCTCTCTCCTTATTTATCTGTCAAACCTTGCTTTCTGTACTTTGTTATTGCTGAATTCTTCCATCCGAGACCCGGACGTTTAACTCTTTTCTATTAGAGCTGTTCATTTGTCAAAGTTTGATCTATTCTTGAACTCTTCCATTTCACTTGAAATGGCTGACAGAAAAAAAAAATGTTTTTATGTCCTCAAATCTGGCTGATATGAATTCATCCTTCTCTTTTATTTGTTTGTAAATAAATTGTGATTTAGAACTAATGTATTTTCAATTCAATATTCAACCATTGTAAACAAAACAATTGCGCAGATATGAGCAGTGCTAGTCCCATGATATGTGTGTGTGTGTGTGTGGACGCGTAATAAGTGTGTTTTGGGTTTCTCGAGGCTGTATTTTTTTTACTCCTGTCCGCCCACAGCAGCAAACTGCCTCTTCTAGTTCTGAAACACAAACAGAACTGAGCCACAGAGCCAGTTCTACTTTGAACATGTTTTAATGTCTTAACCACGGAGCTCCGGTCCGGTTCGGTACCGTGCGGCGGCAGTTCTGGGCGGGTTTGATGCTGCTGGACTCGCGCTGAGGGAGGTGAGCTGGTGAGGAAGGAAATGGCGGCCGATCTTCATAAATATCCGTGATTTTAGAAAAAATAAAAGACATTTTCCTGTGACTTCGTTCGGGAGATTCGTTTCTCAGAGTCGTTGATATGTCAAGACAGTTTGGGCAAATAGTTTGAATAGTGAGAATTAATGAAACACTATAATGTGCGTCGTATGAAGAAATGTAAAGTTTTAATGGGGGTTTGCATTGAGTTTGACATTGTTTCGGTGGGTTTGGCGCGGTTTTAATGACTTAGAGGAGCTGGAGGCCCGTTAGCATGTTAGCATGCCAGCCCGTGTTTACGGAAATCAAAGTCAACATTAAAAACACAATTAAAAAACTTTCACACGTTACACGAATACATAGAGATTTTGTGTGATTAATGGAGTTTATCCAGTGTTTTATGGTTCGATTTTGCGTACAGTAATGTTTTTGACAGCAGGTGTTTGAAATATATTATTAAAGTCGTACAAATATACACACGTCCTTCACACAGACAGGCGCGCGTGAATAACCTCATTCAGTAACTGCATCATTAATCGTTATGGTTGTTACATGTGCTTGTTGTTTTTATATGCAAATATGTTTCGTTTTTTTTATGCTGCAGCGTGTGTTTTTTCAGCTGGGTCTGTTTGTCTACTGCAGTGTGGGGACACTTATAAACTCCAGAAGAAACAGAAGATGTTGACAAAATGATAGCAGCTCAGGACATTCAAACAGACTTCCATCAGTAAGTACCAGACACAAACTAACTTACTCCTTCTCCAGCCAGACACTGTCTGTGTCTCCAAACCTAACTGTTCAGCATCATGGGCGCATTTAACAAGAAGTCCAGCATCTGCTACAACTTGCTTATGTGCTTGCCTTTCCTAAAACAACACTGTGTTTGTAGGAAAACCGCAGTGAAAAAAATCTTGGAGTTTCAGCCCTGTATGCACACTAAACACATTTGACCTCTTGTTAGAGCTCTGTAAAAACCAACTATAAATGAAAACACCTGTAAAATACATACACCTGAAATACTCCACATACACAGTGCTCTAATCACTGGTGCATTTTGTTTGTTTAGGGAAGGATACTCTCGGCTCTCGGACACTGATCTTGAAGATCTCGAGGGTCGGAATGGCAAATCTGGGAAAGGAAAGGTACCTATCAGACGGTGATCTTGTAGAAAGGCATTCAGCTCTTTTATCACTCAATCAGCTTTCAAAAACACTGTTAAACAGATATGAGTAAAGCTGCGCGATTAATCACATAAAAGTGAAACTGCTATATGGTTTAGTGCGATTTGATTAAAATAAATAAATGCGTTGTGTTTCAGAGTGAAGCGTAGCATTGTTTTTTTTTTTTTCTTTTTTAACAAATCTGCAGCTCATGAGTGGTTTGCAGAAAATACTGCTCTACACAAAATCATCTCTGCATGAGCTTTCAGTTTGGGTAGCTTATAATGCGCGTTTGGGAATGCAATATGCACCAACTGTCTTTAAACCAGCTGTTGTTAACAAAAAAGAAGATTTGAGGGCTCCCTGAGGTTTTCCGCTGAAATAAAACCTTAATGGTTTAACATTTGAGAAAGAAGAAATTAAAACAGTTGTACTGTAAAATGTTATTGTTCTTAAATTAATTTTACTGTGAAATATTACAATAATAATAAAATTCCTTATTTTGTCTTTATATTGTTATTATTATATTGATATATAATCACAAAATGGCAAACCTGGAGCTTTTTTTAAAATCACGTTGTAAATTGCAATGGGAATTTTTAAATCACAGTTCGAGCCATGCAGCCTTAGAAGCTTGTTTAATTAACATTTTCTTGCTTTTTGCCATTTGTGTCTAGAAGGGGAAAAAGACCCTTGGAGACAAGTTGAAGGGGTCAGAGGTGAGAGGTCGGGTAAATGGCCACCATCAGGAGAACGACATGGAGAATCTCAGTTTGTTTGAGATTGTCAAATTGGGCAAGAGTGCCACACAGGTACCAGCATACACACGAACAACTTCAGATACATGCTGATCTGTTAGACTGTATTCATTCACAGACATACACGCTCTCTGTCTCAAAGTGCTCGGATGTATCATCAGAGTAAATCAGCAGTTTGTGTGGTTGGTTATTATATCCAGGTCTAACTGCAGTGAATGCTTTCTGTGTAGGCTGTGTGTGTAGGAAAGAAGGTTTAACTGAGCGAGTGTGTGTGTTTACTTTGTGTGTCTCTCTCTGTAGTCAGTGGTTGATGACTGGATTGAGTCCTATAAAACGGAGAGAGACTCTGCCGTGCTGGAACTCATCAACTTCTTTATCCACTGTTCTGGGTGTAAAGGTGTGTGTTCTCTAGGTGTAAATAAGTTTACATAATTCAATCTTATATTTTGTCTTATTGAATGTGTATGCTTGTTATAGGTGCGGTGAGCTTCGAGATGTTTCGGCACATGCAGAATTCTGAGATCATCAGGAAAATGACGGAAGAGTTTGATGAGGTTTGTTAATCTGTTTGTACCACAGACGTTTCCATGGGTAGAATCTATGATGGGATGGAGGAGATTAGATACTGTAAATCTATATGGAAAAAGTGTGTGTGTTCAGGACAGTGGCGATTATCCGCTGGCAATGGCAGGTCCGCTGTGGAAGAAGTTTAAATTAAGCTTGTGTGAGTTCATCGCGGTCCTGGTCCGACAGTGCCAGTACAGCATAATCTATGATGAGTACATGATGGACATGGTCATCTCTCTCCTCACCGGCCTGTCAGACTCACAGGTCAGAGCGTTCAGACACACCAGTACCCTGGCAGGTGGGTGACTTTGGGCTAGGTACTGTGCAGTGTTCAGAATAACATACTACAACATAGGGGTGGGCGATATGACCAAAATCTTATATCACGATATGAGTAATTTTATTTCACGGTAACAATATATATCATGATTAGGGTTGAAGACTGGAAACTTTCCATGGGAATTAAAGGGAATATATGGGAATTAATGGGAATAAACTGGAAATTTGCTAAATTGCAGGAACTGGAAACTTAAATGCTGTTGAATAACCAGATTTAATGCAATTTCAGTTTAATTTCTACCCTAAACAAACACTGCTCAATCACATGCACGCATAAAGTGAAGTGACATGTGGCCAAGTATGGTTACCCATACTAGGAATTAGTGCTCTCTATTCAACCCATCCTAAGTGCACACACACAGCAGTGAACACACACAAACCGTGAACACACACCCGGAGCAGTGGGCAGCCATTTATGCTGCGGCGCCCGGGGAGCAGTTGGGGGTTCGGTGCTTTGCTCAAGGGCACCTCAGTCGTGGTATTGAAGGTGGGAGAGAG